AGTTTATTATGTCTTGCAGTTTACCAATCCGTGGTCCTTTTTACCATAAGAAATGTTACCAAAGTAGCTGACGTTTCACTTTTATCAGGTTTGTAGGAAATGTTTTGGAAGGTTATAAAGCAAGGTTCTTCTCTTATGAGAAACTGAAAAGTTTTGTAAACCTTTTACTTACAAGTAAGTAGTCTCTCCTTGTCCAGAGGTTTTGTTTTCCACTGGTTTTGTTTTCCACTAGTTTCCTGCAGTCAAGCATGAAGCATGGTACAATTTTTTTTTGTTTTTGGACAGAGTCTCACTATGTCACCCTTGGTAGAGTGCCGTGGCGTCACTGCTCACAGCAACCTCCAACTCCTAGGCTTAAGCGATTCTCTTGCCTCAGCCTTGCAAGTAGCTGGACTACAGCGCCCGGCTATTTTTTGGTTGTAGTTGCCATTGTTGTTTGGCAGGCCTGGGCTATATTCAAACCCGCCAGCTCTGGTGTATGTGGCTGGTGCCCTCGCTGCTTGAGCTATAGGCGCCGAGCTAGTCCAAAAATAATAAATGGAAAACTCTACAAATAAGCATTTCATAAGTTTTAAATTCACGGAAATGCCATTCATGGAAACGATATCTATCCTGCTCTGTCTCACCCAGATTGAGAATCACTCCTTTGTTTAGGCTGTCCACATCATGGTGGAATTCTATTGCCTGTCTTTAACCCTTATTTTACTTAATAATGGCCCGAAAGCATGAGTGTATTGGTGGTGGCAATTGGGATATGCCAAAGAGAAGCTATAAAGTGCTTGAGAAAGTGAAAGTTCTCAACTTATAAAGGAAAGAAAAATAATTGCTGAGATTGCTAAAAATCTATGGTAAGAACAAATTCTTTTCTTTGAAATTGTGAAGATGGGAAAAGAAATTTTTGCTGGTTTTTCTGTTACAGCTCAGACTGCAGAAGTTATGTCAACAGTATGTGGTAATGTTGTGCCCAGATTGAGTAGTTCCCAAAGACGACCAGAAGCCGAGTCTGATGTAAAAGCAAAAGGGCCTTTATTGCAGCAAGCTGGAGCTTGGACTCCCGGGGGCTCCGCTGCAACAGATCCTGGCCGAGAGCCAGGAGCTCTGGGGTGGGGGTGGACATTGTAGATGGGGTTTGGGGAAGATCTGAGTATGGGGCGGCGCAGGATTGGGCACTAGTGGCCCAGTGGTCTGATTACAAGGTGTGTTCTGATTGGGTGGTAGGAATCACACGATTATGGGGAAATATACCTGGCGGGGAAACCAAAACTTACTTCTCAAGATTGTGGGAGCTGCCTAAAATGGTGCTTGTCTGGTTCTCTCAGTAAGTGTTTAGTTAAGAAGGAAAAGGCATTAAATTTGTGGATAGAAAACATGACCAGAACAGGTTCCCATGGACAGCAGTTGGGTTGGGCAGCGTCTACCTTTCAGACATCCACTGGGGGTCTTGAAACATGCCACCCACGGATAAGGGGAGGCCACTGTGGACTGTATCTAGAGTAATAAAACACTCTGTGAAATTGGGGGTTAAATCATGTTTGCATTTCTAAGTTCAGTAAATACTGCTAATTTGCCTTTTACAGGGGTTGTGCTGTTTTACACTTCTACCAGCAATATATAAATTGCCTGTTTCCTCACATCATAGCAACATACTTCATTAATATTTTTGATATTTCTTAGCATAAGAGGTAAAAAATGTTACCAGGACAGAATCTTAAAAATTCACTTTATTAAGTTATTATTTATATATACTGACATGTCCCTATTTTAAGTGGACATTTTGATGACTTCTGACAAATGTATAGAGCCTTGGTACCAGGGACACAACCTACATGTATAATATTTTCATTGTTCCTCAAAGTTCCTTTTGGCCGTCAATGTCCTTGCTTGCTTCCTCTCCAGACTACTGGTTCCAGGCAAGCACTGATCTGCTTTATTTCAATACAAATTAGATTTGTCTTTTCTAGAGTATTATAAAAAGTGGAAGTATACAATATATATAGTTGTTATGTCAGGCATTTATTTTATTTTATTTTATTTTATTTTTATCTATCTATCTAAGGCAGAGTCTTACTTTGTTGCCCTGGTTAGAGTGCTGTGCAGTCATAGCTCACAGCTACCTCAAACCCTTGGACTTGAGCATTCCTCTTGCCTCAGGCTCCTGAGTAGCTGGGACTACAGGTGTATGCCACAATGTCCAGCTAGTTTTTTTTTTTTTTTTTTTTTTTTTTACTTTTCCCCCTATTTTTAGTGGAGACAGGGTCTTGCTCTTGCTTAGGCTGGTCTTGAATTCCTTAGATTAAGTGATCCACCCACCTTGGCCTCCCAGAGTGCTAGGATTACAGATGTGAGCCACTGCGCCTGGCCCTGGCATTTTATTTTTGAGATTTATTAATGTATATCTCAATGCTCATTTTTATTGCTTAATAGTCCTCATTTGTATGGTTATAGAATACCATGGTTTATTTATTTGCCTATTGATAAGTAGCCTTTTTTGGCTATTATGAATAAAAGTACATGAAAATATCTTTGTAGGGACATTTTCATTTCTTTGGAGCAAATAGCTAATTTTGCTTTGGGACAATTTTGTCTTTACAATTCAAATTTAGAAATTATTTATATTCTTTGAGTACTATTCCTTTGTTTTATTCTAAATTTATTCCAATCTGTGTTCTTCTGGTTTCATTTTTATATAGAACTATGCAGTCCAATGATGTAGTAGCCATTACTTTAATAAATATGTTTATTACTAAATAAGTTCAGTTTCTCAGTAGGCACAGGTGGCCAGTGGCTGCTGCTTTGGATAGTGCTGCCGGAGGATATTCCTCTCTTCATAGGAAGTTCTGTTGCATAGTCCTGATAGAAAAGATTTTAAGTCTTAGCTATCAAGTTTATCATTAACTTTTCAGTCTGGACTGTGATTTTTGAGCCTTTTATAAGAAATCCATTAGGGCTCGGCATCTATGGGTTAAGTGGCTAAGGCGCCAGCCACATACACCTAAGGTGGTGGGTTCGAATCCAGCCTGGACCCGCCAAAACAACAATGAAGTTTGCAACAAAAAAATAGCCAGGCGTTGTGGCGGGTGTCTGTGGTCCCAGCTACTTGGGAGACTGAGGCAGGAGACTCACTTGAGCCCAGGAGTTGGAGGTTACTGTGAGCTGTGATGCCACGACACTCTACCCAGGGGGACAGCTTGAGGCTCTGTCTCAAAAAAAAAAAAAAAAGAAAAAGAAAAAAAAAGAAATCCATTAGAACACTGAAGTCCTAGAGGTATTCGCCTGTTTTCAACATTTTGCTTTCATGTTACACCTTAGACTCCCTCAAGAATCTATTTTTATGAATGATCTTGATGTGAGGTCAAGATCTGATTTTATTTATTTTTTCTATATGGATTTTATTTCACCACCTTAATTTAATAGTTTATCCATTCTCTGCTGAAAGGTAATGCCTCTCCTGATATTTGGCAAGTTCTAGTGTAAGTATAGTTCTTTCTTGGTGGGGTGTTTTTTATTTTTTGGTATTTTCTTCTTCTCCCACTTACTCCCATCTGTTTAACTAGCCTTATGTCATTACCAGGTTGTTTTAATTACTGTGGTTTATAATAGTGAATTTTGGTATTTACTTGGACAATCTTTATTCCTATTTTTCTTCTTAGAATCGACTTGCCTATTTTTCCTTTTTTTGTATTTTTGCAAACTGATATATAATGGTTATGCGTTTTTCTTACTTTTGGTTTTTCATTTTGAGTTTGGGACCAAATTTTGTCAAGCATCATTAAAAAGTAAATTCTGTTGAGATCTTATTTGGAATTGCATGAGATTTATAGGTTGATTGGTAAGAATTGGTTTTTTTTAGAGACACAGTCTCACTTTGTCACCCTCAGTAGAGTGCTGTGGTGTCACAGCTCACAGCAGCCTCCAGCTCTTGGGCTTAGGTGATTCTCTTGCCTCAGCCTCCTGAGTAGCTGGGACTACAGGTGCCTGCCACAATGTCTGGCTATTTTTTCTTTTCCTTGTTGTTGCAGTTTGGCCAGGGCCACGATTGAACCCACCACCCTCGGTATTTAGGGCAGGTGCCCTACTCACTGAGCCACAGGCTCAGCCCAGAATTGGTGTTTTTATGCTCTTGAGTCTGTCTTTTTATTCAGTTCTTTATGCACTTCAATAACTTTTTTTTCCCCCTAAATTTGAAACAGAATCTTACTTTGTTGCCCTGGGTAGAGTGCCATGGGGTGTCATAGTTTACAGCAACCTCAAATGTTTAGGCTCAAGTGATCCTGTTGTCTCAGCTTCCCATGTAGCTTGGACTAAAGACACCTGCCACAGGCTAGTTTTTCTATTTCTAGTAGAGATAGGGACTGCTGTTGCTCAGGCTGGTCTCGAACTCTTGAGCTTAGGCCATCCACCTGCCTCAACCTCCCAAAGTGCTACGATTATAGGGGTAAGCCACTGCCCCTAAACTCCTTAAGTAACATTTAATAATTTTGCCTGTGAGGGTGAAGCACTTTTTTTTTTTTTAAGAGACAGAGTTTCACTTTGTCGCCCTTGGTAGAGTGCTGTGCTGTCACAGCTCACAGCAACCTCCAATTCCTGGGCTTAGGCGATTCTCTTGCCTCAGCCTCCTGAGTAGCTGGGACCATAGGTGCCCACCACAATGCTTGGCTTTTTTTTTTGCAGTTTGGCTGGGGCTGGGTTTGAACCCACCACCCTCAGTATATGGGGCCGGTGCCCTACTCACTCAGCCATAGCTGCCACCCTGAAGCACGTTTTCATTAAGGTTTTTATTGTTTGGTCATGTTAAAACTCTCCTTTGGTATTTTAATTTGAATTTTTATTTATAAATGAGACTGTTCTTTCCTTTTTAAAGTTGCCTTGGTGGTGTTTTGGTATCAGGGTTGTGCTATCCTTGTTAAGTGAGTTGGGTAGCTTACTTACATTTTATTTCTGTTCAAAAAAGAAAAAGTTGATATTTGGGATTTGTAGAAAATTTTAAATGTGTTTTGCAGCTTGCAAGCAGTACTTTGAAAAGTATCCAGGAGACCATGAACTCCTTTGGGAAGTAGAAGGTGTTGGACACTGGTACCAGAGGATACCAGTCACCAGAGCATTACAGCGAGAAACACTTAAAATTCCAGGTAAGAGTGTTTTCAGTTTGAACACAAGTTTAGTTTAAAAAGCAGTGGCTAATAATGGGTGTGACTTATAGTCCAGAGTAGTATTGTAATATAATGTGGTCTTTCTATAGTAATAGCCCCTTTTGTATAAAGTTTTGAATTTTTATAACATATTAACATTTGAGTCACTAATAAGGAGATGCCTTGAATAGCCCAATTTGAATGTTTCCAGTCCAGTAGGAGCTGGTGTGTAAGAAATAAAGACATTACTAAAGCATCTCTCTCCAAAGTCACTAAGTCCTTAAGAAAAACTACTTAGGCTGGGCTGTGGTGGCTCACGCCTGTTGTCCCAGCGCTGTGGGAGGCCGAGGCGGGTGGATCACCTGTGCTTAGAAGTTTGAGACCAGCTGAAGACTTGCCTGAGGCAGAGTGAGCAAGAGTGAGACCCCGTCTCTACAACAACAACAAGACAGCCGGACCTTGTGATCCCAGCTACATGGGGGACAAGAGAACAGTATAGGAGGAAGAAGTAATTAAAAAAAAAAAAAGAAAGAAAAAGAAAAACTACTTAACACTCTGTATAATGGCAGGTTTTTTTTTTTTTTGAGACAGTCTCACTTTGTTGCCTTTGGTAGAGTGCTGTGCTGTCACAGCTCACAGCAACCTCCAGCTCTTGGACTTAGGCTTTTCTCTTGCCTCAGCCTCCCAAGTAGCTGGGACTACAGGTGCCCACCATAACATCCAGGTATTTTTTTGTTGCAGTTTGGCCAGGCCGGTTTCGAAACCACCACACTCGGTATATGGGGCCAGCGCCCTATTCACTGAGCCATAGGCGCAGCCCAATGGCAGGGTTTCATTGAAAGATACTGTGAGGGAGTATCTCACACCTAGCTAGACGTTCTGTACCCAGTGTCCAGGGTGCTCTTCAGACCTTTTATGAAAATCATTACAGTGTTACAGTTAAAAACAAGTATTAATTGGGTTATAATTTTTAAAATTCTTCTATACACAGCAGTTTCTCAAAATGAACCTAAGAGACCTGTGTCTGGAGAATATGGACCTATATCAGTTGCAGAGTGTGAAGCAGGAACTGGAGACAATCAGGCTAGTGAGAGTCCTCTAACTGTAGGTACACTGTATGTTTGTTGCAGGAAATACAGGTTTTGTGTTTTCCAAAATTAGAGTTTATAGTTACATTTTAAATGGTATAGTTCATTTAACAAACTTCAGTAAGTTCTACTGTGTTAGTTTTCTTGACATTTTCTGTTAATAGATTACTAAGGACTTTGAAAAATAATTTTAGTGATGTTAATGGTGTTATAAGATAATTAAAGAAATTTAGTATATATATATATAAAAAATAAAATAGAAGAAAATAAAAACCTGTAATCCCAATATTTAGATATAGTCACTGATACCATTCTTATACATGTACAGAGTGGCTATAAAGTTCATGTGCAATTTAAAATAATGTGCAGTTTAAAATTGTATATAAACTTTATGGTCACCCTATGTTTAATATTATAAAGCATGTATCTGTATACATTTTATTTTTGTTTTTATTCTCTTAGGCTGCTTCTAATTGCTTTTCTTAGTTAATATTAGAGACGTTTTCTGTGGCATTATGGCTTTAAAATGATTGTTAAATAACATACTGTTACCTATTTTATTTAAATATTTATTTCCTTAGGATACTTTATTTTTACATTTTAAGACAACATGTTTATGCTTGCTTCTTTACATATATGTAATTATTTTTCTGCATGTAAAAATTTCTAGAAGTGGAATTAGGAGTAGGTCAAAGATGACATCCTTGTGGAAAGTGTCATACTGTGTATGCTAGGTCTTTGCAGAAGGCAGCGCACTTTGCAAATAAATACTAGGTATTTTGAAGTAGACAGGTGGGTCCCGTTGATGAACTGCATAGGACTTACCAGGTTCTTATCTAGGACTGATATTATGTGGTACTTGATATTACTTAAAATATGGGCCCGTTGATAGGATTATAGAAATCTGGGGGTTTTTTTGTTAACAGAGTCTCACTTTGTTGCCCTCAGTAGAGTGCAGTGGCATCATAGCTCACAGCAACTTCAAATTCTTGGGCTCAAGTGACTCTCTTGCCTTAGCCTTCCAAGTAGCTGGTACTACTACAGGCGCCTGCTACAACGCCCAACTATTTTTTTTTTTTTTTTTTTTTTTTTTGAGAAGAGGCCTTGTTCTGGCTCAGGCTGGTCTCAAACCTGTGAGCTCTGGCAGTCCACCCACTGTGGCCTCTCAGAGGACCATGATTACAGATGTGAGCCACCATGCCTGGCCCTAGAAATTTACTTTTATTCAGTGTTTTGTTGTGATAGTGTTTATTACAGTTGTATTTTTGAACATACATATGTGAGCTTATTTTAAATGAATGTTGAATATGCCTGTGCAAATGAATATGCATTCTAGAGACAAGTGCTTTGGAGAATTACTTGTGCTTCTTATTTTGTGTTTTAATTATCGTCAGAGTGACTAGATTTGAATGAAAAGCTTTTAAACATTTTAAAGCATAATAAATAATATAACTATTAGCTATAAAAAGTTAGGTTTTTTTTTTTTTTTTTTGCAGTTTTTGGCCGGGGCTGGGTTTGAACCTGCCACCTCCGGAATATGGGGCCCGCGCCCTGCTCCTTGAGCCACGGGAACTGCCCCAAAAGTTTATTTTTTTTTTTTACATTTGGAGCATCACACTTTGGAAAAAGCCCCTGTTCTATTATTACAGACCAAATTCTTCGGATATACACAGATTCATTTACTGTTGGTCAGATACCATCAAATCAAGGAAAGTAGAAAATTGTTCTTCTCATAAATGTAATAAGAGCAATAATTTAATCTTAGGGGAACTATTTTAAACGTGTCATTTAAGTGAGAATATAGTGACACCATTTCCTAAGGTAGACAGCATAAATTAGAGTTTAGAATCTAACCTAATTAAATTAAGTTTTTAGAGCCTAGCCTAATTAAAGTTCAGAAATTCATATTTTTTGTATTACTTTAATGTTTTGATTAGCTGAAGGAAAATGTTTATTTCTTACAGGATTTATGTGCCTTTTTATCAGTAACTACAGGAAGAAGTAGTTTTGTTTATTTCAGCTACATGATTTATTCTTTAGGTGATGATGATATTTTTATTTACATTTTCCTAAAAAATACTCTTTTTTTTTTTTTGAGACAGAGTCTCATTATGGGGCCCTCAGTAGAGTGCTATGGCATCACAGCTCATAGCAACCTCAAACTCGGGCTTACGCAATTCTCTTGCCTCAGCCTCCCAAGTAGCTGGGACTACAGGTGCCCACCATAACGCCTGGCTGTTTTTTTGTTCTATTTGTTATTGTTGTTTAGCAGGGGCAGAACCCACCAGCCCCGGGGTATGTGGCTGGCGCCCTAACCGCTGAGCTATGGGAGCCGAGCCAAAACATACCTTTCTTTTATGATACTTTTTGCGCCTTTTAATTTATTTATCATTAACCTATATCTTATCCTAACCTATATAACCTATATAACCTATATCTTATACCTAACCTATATATTAATTTGTCATTAACCTTATCTTATCCCTTATCCCTAATTGAACTACAGTCTTCTTGATGATTAGACTTTTAGAATATTATCTGTAACAGTTGCTCCCTGGTTTGTATTCTATAAATAGAGCTTGTTGAATTCTATGTGCCCACCATATAAAGGGGTTTCAGTAAACCCATCATGTATGGATGTGGTTTATGTAATAAAGTAGGTGCTGTGGCAGACATTGGACATATAAAGATGTGTTTCACATACATAAGGGAAAACTAGGATGGTTCATTGTTGGAAGCAGATATGTAAACAATATGCTTCAGGATGATAATTGCCTTAATTATTATAACAAGCGATTGGAGGTTCATAGAAGAGGATGGCTTTTATTTATTTATTTTTATTCTTTGAGACAGAGTCTCACTTTCTTCCCCTAGTAGAATGCCATGGGGTCATAGTTTACAGCAACCTCCAACTCTTTGGCTTAAGCGATCTTCTTTCCTCAGCCTCCCAAGTAGCTGGGATTACAGGCACCTATCACAACACCAGGCTATTTTTAGAAATGGGATCTTGTTCTTGCTTAGGTGGGGCTCAAACTCCTGAGCTCAGGCAATCCACCTTCCTTGGCCTCCCTGAGTGCTGGGATTATGGGCATGAGCCATTGCACGTGGCCCCTGAGGATGAGTTTTAAAGGGTGGGAGTCCTGTGACAAGAGTTGTTAAAGCATTAGATGGGGTGTAATTAGAGAGATACCAATGAGGAGGCTACAGGAATATTTCGGGTTAAAGGCCAGAACTAAAGAAATGGCAGTACAAAGACAGGGCAGTTTTCAGAGATTATTCTGTTAAAATTGGTAGGCTTTGTGATTAATTAAATATTGATAGGAAGAAATCATTACTAACTCACTAGTTTCTGGCTGGAATGATCAACTGAGTTATTATTGCCATTAACCAAGAAAGGGAATAATATTCGGGAAAGATAAAGTTCATTTTGGGGAGGGTTAGATGTGAAAATGGATGGGGCACCCACTGAAAGACACTTCATTGGAAGTAGAGCTTCAAGAGTTAGGGAGTTTAAGGTGTATATTTGGGCATACTACAACATTCCTCAGCAGATGTTGGAATTAAGGTAGTAGGTTACACAGTGAAGGGAGAGTATATGGACTTGAAAAGAGAAGGTGGCTGAGGACAGAACCCCAGGAGACTCCAGTATACCCGCCTGTAACCTATTAGATGGCTTGTATGCATTCTTAGTCTTATTGTCAACAGAAGCTTTTGTTTTTAAAGTGAGTTTTCTTTTTCTTTTTTTTTTTTTTTTTGAGACGGAGC